GGTCCAAAGCCCCAAATGTAAAAGTAAAAGGTTGTGTTAGGTAGTCAACTGTAAGCGTAAATTTTTTATCAAAAAATCATGCAGGAATCCTTTAAATCAATAGGTAAATGCAATAGCATCCCCTGGAAGAGACGCAGTGTATAACCTGAATACAATGAAAAATGTGCAAGGCTCAATACACCGGCTAAATAGGACACTTAATATTACACAATCGAGAAAAATGACTCATGTAGCCAGCGGCCTAAAATAGAGCCCGGGAGCGGGCGCTTAATTTGGCCCAAAACAGGAGCTTTGATCTCGCGCGGCAAAATTCCCCAGCAATGCAACGCGATGGTAGAAGTGGAGCGAAAGCAGGCGTGGATTGCAAATTTTCACAAAGGACGGATGAGGCGTGAACTTTCGCGAACCATGGAAGCTTCGCAGGCTACTGCAGTATTTTACAGATTCTTCTAGTTTTCCCCTCTTTTCTTTTGCGTAGAAGTTTCATGGGAGTCTATAAATTCCTGTCCTTTGTGTGTGGGGGAGTCAGTTCTAGATGTGTTGTCTTCAGATCTCCTATGGAGACCTTTTCCCCTCTTGTTAGGGGTTGCATCCGATGACAGATGGTGCTCCGGCTGTATCCTGCTATGAGGTGGTGTAGAATCCTTCCAATCTCCCCCTCCACTTCTCCCCTAGCCGCCTACCACCCCTATATCTCTCAATTACTCTGTCACCACCTCTACTCACTCCACAACTTTGTCATCTCGCTTACCTGCAACCAACCAAAATGTTATACCAACCTACCCAAACAGCCACCTTACCTTTCCCACCTTTCCCTACCACCGCCTTCGAATCTCTTCTACAAGTCATGACCGTAGATTAGTTTATTATTGTATTACCTTTCTGTTTGAGTCATGTTGCAGCCTTATTTCTATATTAATAAAAGTTCATTTTGTATTTTACTACATCATAACTAGTTCTGATATCATTTGGTATCATAGCTAGTCCAATCTTAGTCTCATCCTAAGGTTTCCTTGCATCTGCCCCTACCCAATCCACCTCTACCAATTTTTTTTTTCCCTTCCGATTCTCACCCTAACCATGCCACCACAAAGAGATACACATGACTCGGCTCGGAAAGAGATTCGACGAGAAATCCAACGTCTACAATTAAGAAAAACAGAGCTGGATGACGAAAACCAGGAAGAGTTACCTTTGACCATGATCGAAAGAGTCAAAGAGAAGACAAGGACGAGGATCTGAATTCGTTCCAAAGAGAAGATCACAGTGAAAAGGAATCAACTAAGTCGTTTTGGTATCCAATACCAAAGAAGGTCGAGAGAAGAGGCCACTTATAGGAGTCAGTGGGACAATGGCATCAAGATGGACCTCCTAGAATTTGAGGGAGGCATGGACCCCGATGAGTTTATCGACTGACTGCAGGCAGTCGAATGGATCTTCGAGTATAAAGATATATCAGAGGAAAAACGCGTTAAGGAAGTTGTAATTAAACTAAAGAAGAATGCCTTCTTATGGTAAGAAAATCTATAAAAACGGGGGAGAAGAGAAGGAAGTGAGAATTAAGTGGGAAAAGATGAAGAAGACAATGTAGAAGAAAAACCTCCCACCACAGTATCACTAGAACATGTTCCCAAAACCAGTTAGAGCTGGAATGTGAGCTGACAGAGCCAAAGGAGCACACGATCGCCCAATACCTTTGGGGTGTAAAGCATGTCATTAGCAATGTGGTCCAACTACAACTATACTGGACGTTGGGGGATGTCCAATCAATAGCCTTAAAGTTGGAGAGGCAGTAGAAGCAAAGCAAGCAACAGTCGTCCTTCAGACCATCATCCTCAGCTAAGTTGTCACCTGCAACTCCTACAACCAATAAAGGTGTCGTGGGAGGAATTAACAAAACTGGATAGGGAACTGATAAGGTAGAACAGAGTGTAAAAAGCCAGAAAGAAGCAAATCCTATAATACGGTGCCAGCCAAAAAGTGTTTCAGGTTCCATGACTAAATTTAATAGCCTCCAGCTGCCCAACTAACTGAGATATCGCACTCACAAATCAAGGTGTCGTCGAGGAAGTTGATGAGGAATCTGAAGGTAGTCTAGAAGAAGAGCTTCAGCTCCACGAAGATGAGGGATAAGCATTAGTCATTCAACGAACATTGCAGTCCGAGCCAGAACGGGACCAATCCTAATTAAGACAGTATTTTTCACACCAAGTGCACCGTAAGGGAAAGGTCTGCAACTAGGTCATCAATAGTGGGAGTTGCGAGAACGTTGTATCCACGCTCATGGTGAAAAGGTTGGGATTGAAAATGTAGATGCATGCTCAATCATATTCTCTTACCTGGTTAAAGAAGGGAAACGAGATACGTGTGAAACAACGGTGCCTTGTTGATTTCTCCATCAAAGACTAGCTAAAAGAACAAATATAGCTAAAAGAACAAATATGGTGCAACATGGTTCAGATAGACGTCTGCCACATTCTTTTCGGAAGGACTTGACAGTTCGATCGCAAGACTCAATATGACGGGTTAAAGAACACTTATTCTTTAAGGAATGATATGAAACACGTCGTTCTACTACCTGCTAAGGATGTAAAAGACGAAAACGATACAAAAGCAGCAATAATTCCCCAAACCACTTTTCTGCAGTCAATTAGAGATGCACCCGTAACACACTGGCATTAGTCCTCTTTGAAGGAAGCGAGAAGGAAAGATAAGTACCAGCACTACTACAATCATTACTGCAGGACTTTCAGGATGTTATGACCTCCAACTTACCAGAGGGGATACCATCACTAAGAGACATCTAACACGCCATAGACCATAAACAAGGATCCATACTACAAAACCGACCGGCCTATAGACTAAGGCCAGTGAAATATGAAGAGCTACAACAGCAGGTGCAAGATCTCATCGCAAGGGGCTACTCAGAGAAAGAACTTGAAATTAACATCAAAGTACATGTTTGTATCTTATGGATATGCATGCCTTACTGAATAGAGTATTTTGTATTAATTTTTATATCTTTCCACATATAATATTTTCAGACGCTTAAAATTGATAAATTAAGATGAGAAAGGGAGCATAGGAGTTTTTATTATTGCTTAGCATCTTGATGCACTTGCATAATGCACAAATTTTAATGTACTAGCATGAATTTTGTGATAGTTCATTTGATGTAAAAATACCATCAAGAAAATTCATTTAAGTATTGAGAACACTTCAAATCTATTGATTGCATGAATATCTTATCATTTAAATGTATGCAAAGTTTTATTTAAGAGTTAAATTGGTCGCCTTTTGTCCTCTTATAATTATGTAAGTATGATGGCATATGTAACAATCATCTATCACCCATAATATATAACAGTCTATATCTGAGGCTTTAATCTCATTGGGAGGGTAATCAATCATTTGACAAAAAAATATATTTCCTTTTAGCCTCTCCCTCTTGCATGCCTCACCACTAGCACACTTTATCTCTTTTCTTCTCTCAAACTCACTTTATAATCTCCTTTCAAACACCTAACAACACTAATTGATGTATTAAAGGGTTTATGGCCCCCCTAGCAAGCTATCCATATAAATCTATCTTACAATGGTAGAGAGTTTATTTGATCATCTGTTGTTATATTTTATGTATAGAGCCTCTATAAAACACTAACACATGTACTTCTTAGTATGATGAGCATGAAAATGCTCATGCTTGCTTTTTATGCACCACCCAAGCATACTGCTTTCCAAACCCAGTTTCGGACAAACTTAAGCTTACAAATAATAAAAATGACAGCTTTAAGATGTTCTTTGGTAGCTAGATTTAACTAGGATTTACACAGAGATAGTGTAAATCTTGCCAAAGAATCAAAATAAAAATTTTAAAATCTATCATATCTAACATCTCATTTTGTCTCCGTTTCAACCTAAATCCCATATTTACCAAATTCAAGAGTTCGACGGATATAAGAGATTTAGCTAATAGAGATGAACAAAGGAGGAGAAAGACGAGGGAATTAATATCCGTTCATGCCTTAGCCTGCAAGAGCCCATCACAATTTGCTTCTTCTTCCTCAATGGTTTCGAGTGGTAGTGAAAGGGGGCAAAAGATGTGGTATTTGGACACACCATTGCAATCCCATTCTTGCAAGCTCTCATCGCAAATTCAGTGCCTTTTTTTTAATTAAGGGATTAGGCAGGAGAATAAAGGAGAGAAAGACATGGGTTTCTATGGAATTAGTTTCGGTCATTAGTTGTATTGTGTTAACTATATTATTTTAATAATAAGTATTAATTAGTTAAAAAGATGTTCTCAACATTTTGGAGGCATCGGCTGAATACTTTTGATGTATGCAAAGTGTTTTGAGTCTGTTTAGTGTGACGTTGTGTCTGTTGTCCACTATTTTCATTGTGCTTGATTAAGCTAGGTTATAAAATACTTATTAAGGTCAACCATGACATGAATTGTTGTCAGATAGAGTCCACCATGCAACTATTCGGAAGAAAATTTCCTGGCAATAGGAAACCACATTATAAAATCTGATGTAAAATCGCATCAACTTATTTCATAAATAATATATCATACATTTCTCTGTGTCAATAAAGGTTTAAATAGGAAAGAACCTCTAATCTAAATTTTTCTATTGGAAAAAGCCTGGTTTCATATCTAAAATATAAAAAATTTTACAAGTGGGAGCCATGGACTTTCCCATGAAATTGCAGTTATGTAAGAATTGCAAAGTATATTTACAGTGCGGTCCCCAAACAAATAAAAGACGAGATGATATTAGCGGATGAGAATAGCAGCAAAGCATACTTTTTAAGAGAATGAAAAAGAACAGATTGAAAAGGAACAGATGGATAATAATTTTCAGCCACTACAAGATCAGACATTACAAACATGAAATTAGGTATTTTCTAGTGTAACTGACATATAACTAAAATATAATATATTTGCAGAACTAAAAATGAAGCTACAAGATTTTAAGTAGAGCTTCATATATAGGTACCTGATGGGGATCATTCATGGGGATAGTAAATGTGCTGTTTGGGTAGATACGTAACTCCTGAGGCTTTCCAGGATACATCTGAGAACTAGAAGCGAGTAGAACAATGCCTTTACCTTTTAAAACAACAAATACTTCTTCACATGAGTGACGATGGATTGCAGTTCGAGATCCTGGAGCATATGTGTGAAGCCAAACTTCAACCTATAGGCAGAAAAAAATGTAAGATTAATTATCCACAACACTGTCACCTTCAGAACTACTAGAAAGTTTAAATTTGGAAGGAATGGAAACAAAGTGACGGTTGATTGCAATGATAACCAAACATCAACTCACCTGTATTCATAGTTCGGTATTTGGATGGTTTGGATTATTTGTCTGCTGCTTAGAGGCTGGAGATGTGGATGCCCCTGGGTTGTTCTTTATCGTGAATACCTTTGTGTGGTTCCTCTTCCTTGCTTACGACTATGTGGTGGTTTACTACTCACCTGCTGTACTATTACTACACCATGCTCAGTTTGGCATTTCTTGCTCCTTTGGCAGGAGCTATTTCTGGATGAGGGCTCCCCTCATTTTCCTATTCCTTTTGTGGAATTTCTTTCCTATTGTGTTCCTCTGTTTGATGTATTGCAGGAGCTCTCGTATGCTTTCCTCTGGACTACAAAGATTATAGTGCGGTCTTGGCCTCCTCAGTTTACTGCCTATGATGGAAAGGGATATGGTTTCTCTCTTTTGTTTGTGTTTTGGTCTCTGCAGAATTCTCATGTGGCTTGCTCTACACATGACTTATTTGGGTCTCAACTAGATGTTGATGTTGTCTCTTCAAACTCATCGAATCACTCGAGCTCTTTCTTTGATTTTTTGGTTGTTTTTGGTGTACATCTATATATTGGGTATACTTTTCTTTTGATATACTGAATCTCGTGTTATTTTGGGTACACAATACCTTTTATCACTTTTCTTTCATTTTTTTAGCGTGGAGTTTTAATGTGGATAGAGAAACCCCTAGGACCCTACTTTTGTTTTTAGATGGGGATCATTCTTCCCTCTCTCACTTTTGTAAATTTTCTTATATTAACACATAGGGAGCCACGTGCTGCTTTTTCCTTAATATTAACACTTTTTTTTTTTGGTGGGAAAAGCAACGGTGGCTTCCTACGCGTTAATTAAAAGAAAAGGTACAGAAATTGCAGGAGGGAGGATCCCCGACTATGAAAGCAAAAAAATAAATTTTAACACACCTCTAAGGGTTCCTCTACCCACAGTACAACTCACACAAAAGAAATAACCAAAAATTACAGGTAAACCCAAAACCAAAGAACAAAACTCAAAACTAAGTAAACATGTATTCGTGTATTGCTTAACATGTAAAGAGAAAGAAAATGTACAAAAAATTGTCTTCAGGTTGGTAGTAATTCTCCGAGAGCACTCCCGCGAGTAACAAGAACCTTAGGAAATTTGGAGATCAGAGCAGAGAAAACCAAAACAACAGTAGGCCAGCGGAAAAAGTGAGAGCAGAAAACAGGGAGACAAAACCAGGCATGCTGCAAACCGAACAGACCTGCCAAACAAAATAAAAATCCCGCAAGGGGAGAAGTGAAAACCCCAACCACCATACAGAAATAAGGCCCTTAGTGGTAAAGCCAAGCAGCACCAAAATTTAAATTCAAACATATGGCAGATTCAAATTGTCCCCAGTGAGAAGACATCTGAGTGAAGCAGGAGGATAAATGCCAACGTGACAAACCTCCCCTGCATGTTTGGCTAACCAATCAGCAGAGGAGTTGCCCTCTCTATGAATGAATTTCCAATTTACTTCTAATTGTCTTGCAGTCATTAAAGCTAAAATACGTTTAAAAGTGCAAATTATATCCCAGAGGGAGGAGAGATTCCCAAAAGTATATCATAGAGCATTTTAGAATCGGTTTTCACCTCAATTGTATGAAAATTGAAAACACTTGCCACCATTAAAGCCAGAAAAAACCCCCAGTATTCTATGGCTAATGGGTTGTCAGCGGCAGCAGGAGAGGTGAAGTAGCAAAGACACCTACCATCATAATTTCTAAAAATGCCCCCAACCGCAACATAAAAAGGATTCCAACAGCCATCCACATTAACTTTAACAAAACCCGATGAGGGGAGAGCCCACCTGATCAGCCGGGGGGGGGGGGGGGGGGAAGATATCATTTGTACCGACCCTTAGGACCTTAGTGTAATACGTCAACACATAAGAAACCGTCATAGAAACAGTAGGGGGAGAGGAGTTAAATTTAAAGCTGTTTCTCGATGTCCAAATAAACCATAGGAACAAAAAAGGAAGGGAAAACCCCCCTATCATCAAAAACCTTCAATTGCCACAAATAATTGCTTAAGATGCCCCTATGCAACCATGAAATACCGAAATCTATGCCCAACATATTCCAAACATTTAAAGACAAAGCACATTCAAAAAATATGTGTCTCGAATCTTCCTCTGCAACTTTGCACATAGGGCATCTCGAGGCCATTTTAAGGCCTTTCAACTTAAGAATGTCATCAATAGGTAGTAAAGAAGAGAGATAACGCCAAAAGAAAAAGGATATAGAGGGAGTTAAAAATTTGTGTCAAATCCATTTTCCCCTAAATCAATCGAGGTGTGAATGTGAAGTGTCATATATTAATTTGCAAACTGATTAAGAACTGTTCCTTTTCCACATAGGGAAATCCCTGCATGAAGGGGTAATAGGAATAGTAATAATATGCTTTGCATTTTCCTCCCCCACCATAGAACATAATTTGGAGAAATCCCAGCCATCTTGAGAAAAGAAATCAGAAACCAATAAGGAGTTTGTAGAGGGTGAGAGTATTCAGAGAGATAAGACAACCTCCAATTATCATTCCAGAAATAGATGTTTCCGTCACCTATATCCCAAAACATAAAATCATTAGCAGTAGTTCTAGCATTAACAACTGTTTTCCAGATACGGGAATCACCAACCTTCCACAAAACCTGGGAAAAGTGAGTTTGAGCACAATATTTCTGATGCATAAAATCCTTCCAATGAGTTCTATCATTAGTTTTAGGGATAAGAACAATCAAAGCGGCAGAAAAATACTTTCCAAAGTCTTCACCCTGAAAAAAACTTTGAATCGCGAGAACCACATCTTTCTTTATGATGTCCCAGCAGGAAATATAAAAAGCAGAAGTGAAACCATCGGGGTCAGAAGCCTTCTGAGAACTAATATCTTTAAGGGCAGTGAAAATCTTTAACTCATTGAAGAGGGGTGGGGGGGGGGGGGGGGGAGGTCGGACAAGAAGAGGGAGGAAACCATGTCCCTCTGCTCCTCAAACAATTCTGATAGAATATCAATGACCGGGAGAGCCTCAACATAAAGAGAAGAAAAATAATCAGCTGCATTGGAACCAATTTGATCGGCATCAGTAAGTACATTACCCTCATCAATAACAATCTTAATAATGGCATTTATATTACGAAGATACTTAACAATAGCATGAAAATATTTAGTGTTTCTGTCTCCGTTTTTGAAATGAGTGTCACAAGCTTTCTGTCTAAGGGAATCCTCCTCAATAGTGATTTCCTCCAAGAGAGTATGATGAGCATTAGCTAACTTAGCCACAAGATCAGGAGTGTCTATCACATGTGCCTCTAAAGCATCGACCTCCTGTTGGGCCTTCGAAACCCTAAAATGGACATTGCCAAAAGTATACATGTTCTACCTTTTTAAGTAAGAAGCAATGTTCTTATGTAATTGCCACAAAATGAACCAAGGGTTACCACTCCACCGCGAGACCTAAGCCTGCTTAATCAAATCAATAAAATTAGGATGAGAAGTCCAAACATTAAGAAATTTAAAGTGATAGCGAGCAGATTTAGAATGAAAAGCCGAAGTAAGCAAAAATAGGGTTATAGTCCGATGCAGCATGATTAAGATGTTTGACATGAATAATATTGTAGTAGCCCAGAAAAGATGAGTTTCCTAGAAATCTATCCAGTCTCTGCATAAGAAAACCCCTCCGCCAAGTATAAGGAGAGCCCGAAAAGCCTAAATCATAAAGGTCAACATCCGCAATATGCTCACAAAAACGGTTGATAAGACTTGTATCAACGTTAGCACCACATAATCAGATTTAGATCCCCTCCAACGAACCAATTATCAGAAAATAGAAGCACCCCTATGAGTAAGTTGTCGCCAAAGGAGAAGTTTGTCCCTTAAAAGAGAGCTGGCATAAATGAAAGCAGCCCAACCAAAAAAATTCTCCAACTGTTAATGAATAAGAACATATTGCAAATTATCATCAATAATGTTAAGAGTGATATCATTCTGCCAAAAGAGCCAAATTTTATTGTTCATATTACTATAATGCATGAAACCCTTAAATTTCTTAATGATATCATCTTTATGAACCGTTACAAACGGCTCCAAAAGAACAAAAATGTTTGGCTTATGGACCCTACATAAATGTATTAAACGATTAAATGAGTGGGGGTCCGCCACTCCTCTAATGTTCCATACCAAAATGTTAAACATTTTGACCCATGACACCCCCTCCTAGCAAACATAGGGGGAAGATGCAAGTGCTCACCCTCCGAATGGTATGTGACATCAATATTGTTTGCCTGTGTCATAATTGGGAGTTCTGATTTCCTTCTACCTCTTCTCCTGCTATATTTTTGAATTGTCCATTCAGATTCTAAAGCCATGGCAGCCATAGCAGATGGGTCCGGCGATGGGGGAGTAACCGATGGAGTAGTATGTTGATTATTTGCTTGTGGGGGATCCTAAACCTCAAATTGTTCAGCTAAAGCACCAGGGATCTGAGCCACAATTTCCAGTTCTTGTGTGGCAATGAGATCCACAATTTCAACTCTCTCTGTGGGTACAGGGCCACGCGTGCTACTTCACCAAAATGAGCAGCACTGGTTGACTCCAAATAGGCAGTAATTTGATCAACAGGGCGCAAGGTACTTCAGCGGACTGAGTTACTGGTTCAAAATGAGTTCAAAGAGCAGATTTCTGCTCAACAGAGGCCACACGACTAGAAGTGGATTTCCTTAATATATATATATATATATATATAAAGATGTCGTCGTCCCGCCACTCTGCTAGGGTTCTGCCCCATGGAGAACCCTAGCGTGAATAATAAATTGTGGCCTCTGTTGATGCTGAAAACAATTTGCTTACATGACACCTTAAGTCGTAAGATTTGCCCACCTCAGATTCATCAACATATAGCTTTGTATAAATCAAATCATATTTAATCTAATTTTAACTTTCTGTCACTTTCTGTCACAGCCCAACTGGCCCCTTTTTAAGGGTCGGTTGAGGTGCGACAGAGGCTGGCAATTTGATCAGACCAACTCTCAGCAACACTCATCCTGACTTCTATAAACAGAAGATAATGGATGATGAATTAATCTAACTGGATCGCCGCATATGTGATACATTGCATTTCAATTACATAGTCAAAAACATGGAAATTAAATCATAAAAAATGTGAAAATTATACAGAGCTGCTAAATCTAAAATAATAAAAATATTTACCCAAAACTTATGCACAAAACTTTCAAAACTAACGTGCAAAAGTTGTACAACGACACACCTGACTACTCGCCCTTGTGTTCGTTGCCCCTACCTGGAAGGCAACAACAAAGAATGAGCAAATAACAGCTTAGAAAAATAATCAAAGTTAATATAAGATTTTGCACATGAAAAAGAAGCAACGTGCATGCTCGTAAAAAACTATACATATCTACAAATAAAGCATAACATGTCAACATAAGAAAGCAGGTACAGAAATCAAAGCTATAGTGTAATATATAGATCGTAAGCATGAAATCATAAATATAATCAAAAACATGTTCATTCATTTCATAGAGGTCATATCATAATAATGTTACTTGTGTAATATATAGGATTTAATTATTTTCATGTTCTTTCATAATGGGACTTCACCCTGCCCCAAAGGTCATATAAACCATTGATAAAGGTTAGGTTTCCCCCAATATAGCAGTTATCAACAGCTCCCCCTGATACGCACGATTCTCTAACATTTTGTCATCATCTAATCACAAAGGTTCCCAAAGTTTCATCACCGTATAAATATTAGGAGTCGAGAATACATTCCTACATGTAATAGTCTACCCATACATTACCCATGACATTTCTTATAGCATAATAATTGTAGCATACATTCGTGGATATTTGATATACATATATGAATAAAAATGAATACCTGCACTTTATCATAGTATAGCATAACATGTATGAATCATAAATAAATATCTGCAATATATCATAATATATCATAACATCATACGTATAGTAAAAGACGTCCACTTATATTCATACATTTTAAGTACGTAATCATCTACAATACACATGAAGTCTAAATGCTTCTGTGTCGAACTAGAAATCATATGCAAACCTATAGAAGATTGTTTTTTTCTTAAATTAGCACAAAGATTATTTCAGCTAATTAGACGAAGCAGCCCTACAACGAGTGTCCACACGCTCGTCTCAAGCTCGTCGCCTTATATAAATAATCTAGGGAACGTTAACATCATAATAATTCATAAAATTCGGGTTCATAACATGTTTTAACCCAAAGCATAACTTATTCGCCTGAAACATACCTCAAAGGGGTTTTCAGCATAAATCTGTCTTTTAGAAATCGACAAATTTACATCCTATCACCTCTAACTTGACTTCCCATTCGATAACTCGTGCTAACCTCCTTTTGGAAGCTTGTAAAACAATTACGACACTTTCGACACACAATCGACGCCTCTGATGGCTACCGAAAACGAGAAAAATACGAAAGTGTGAGGAATGAAATGAAAGCAAGCGAGAGAGAGATTCATACTCTTGGATTTCACACCAGAGACCTAAATCCTGAGTTGCAGCCACCCTATTCCCGTTCAATTTGGTACCGCTCACCCTATGCACTGTAGCAATGGGTCGCAGAGCTTGCCTGCATCTGCCAACCGTGAAAGGGACATGGAGAGGGGGAGTTTGGAAGAAAAAAAATAGGGAGAGAAGGGAATAGATTTGACTGATCGAATAAAATAAAGGTGTAAGAGAGGTTCATTGGCTACAATAGCAGAGGTTAAGGGAATAATTAAGGTTAAATAAAGTTTAATTAATTTTATTAAACTTATCTTTAGAGTTTTATATTTCTCAAACCATTCATTATTCAAGCATGGTGTTCTATATTGAATTAATCGATTTCATGCGTAGAATTTAATAAAATTATTTCGATCAAATTCTAGGAGGTGAAAATTTTTGGGTACTTTTACAATTGTGTCGAACTTTACCTGATTTCTGGAATTTATGCGTTGCAAATCCAACCCTAGCTCTAGTGTTGTGTTGTTTTGTTGCAATTTATTACTTTCCTACAGTTGTTGTAATGTCAATTTTTTCTTCAATTTTGTAATAAAATTTGTTTTCCTTTAGGTTTTAAAAAATTCCAATATCATTAGGTATCAGAACTAGCCCAACCATAGTTTCATCCTAGAGTTACCAAAATCCACTAATACCTAACCCAAACTCCACCCAAAACTCTTCGCAGTTTATGTTTCAAATTATGCACCCTAATTTTTTTTCCCTGCCCTAAATCAGCCCCGTTCACTCCCTTTCAACTTTCAAATCTAAATCTTAGTCATGCCACAAGAAGGCAAGTGTTGGAAGTCGTTCAAAAACTTATCACAGAAAAGATACAGCATGAAATCCGCCGACTTCAGTAAAGGCTTACATAAATTGAGGAATGGACCCACAGAGAGATCACTGTCGACTGTGATAGTGAGATTTGAAGAGGAAAGAGGGAGGAAAACTTGAATCCCTTTTATTGGAATGATTCTAGTGAAGAGGTTGGACCACGAAAGTTTGAGATTCAATATCAAAGGAGGTTGTGGGATGGAGTGACTTTTGGAGGACATAGAGACATTGGGCTGAAGGTAGTCTTACCGAATTTGAAAGGGAGAATGAATCTGAATGACTTCATTGAGTGGTTGCAGAGTCTAAGGAAGTGTCAACCAATAGAAGAGTGAAGCTTATTGCCATAAAGCTTAAAAAGAGCACCTCTTGGTGATGGGAGAATCTGAAGAGGTTGAGACAAAGAGAAGATAGGAACAAGATCACTATTTGGGAGAAGATGAAGAATGAGATGAAAAGGAATTACTTACCCCCACAATATCGCCAGGACAAGTTCCTGAAGCTCCGCAACCTAGACCAGAGAGTTGTCAGTGAAGGAGTTCACAACAGAGTTTGAGCAGCTCATGCTAAAATTTAGCTAACATAGCCAAAAAAGCATAATATAGCCAGATATTTGGGAGGTCTTATGTCAACCATCAGCAATATTGTCCAACTACCATCTTATTGGTCGTTGGGTAATGTTCAGACCTTCATATTGAATGTGGAGAGACGGCAGAAGCAGAGCAAAGCACCCACCTCCATTAAAACTGTCACCCACTGCTGGAGGTATATCAGCAGAAGCACACCTGGGGGAGGTGGTCCAGGGGATGACAAAGCTGATTAGAGTGAGAAAAAGCCTGAGAAGAGTAACACGCCAAGCACAGTTTCAGCCTTTGGTTACCCTAATAGCGGAATTATTTCCTTTGTCAAGCAGAGTGCAGTGAGGAACTAAGCGAGAAGGGGATAGCAAAAGAGTAGGGTGAGGAGTGTCAACTCCATGGAGTTGAGGATTAGATGTTAGTTGTGAGGAGTGCTCTGCAAACTGAACTAAAGAAGGATCACTCTTAGTTGTACATAGCATCTTTCGCACCAAGTCTACTCTTAGTTGTGTGAATATGATCTCTACACTTATGCTGAAGAAGCAAGACTTGGCTACTCAGAAGCATTCTCAATCATATTCTTTGACCTGGTTGAAGGGGAATGTGATACGCGTGGATCAACACTGTTTGTCAGAGTTTTCTATTGGAGACCAACTGCAAGATCAGGTGTGGTGTGGTGTTGTGCCCATGGAGGTCTGTTATACTTTGTTGAAGAAACAGTGGCAGTTTGATCACAGGACTCAGCATGATCGGTTCAAGAACACCTACTCATTCAAGGAGGGGAAGCACATAGTTCTTTAGCCCATCAAGAAGCCTAGAGGGCTGACACTCACGTTGTAGAGGAGATCACGGTCCCCGTGCCACCATTCTATAGTTAGCACAAGAGGCCCCAATGATGATGGCCTTCGTCACCCTAGAGGGGACTGAGGAGGAGACTGAGTTACCAGTGACAATACAGCCACTACTAGCTAGCTTTCAAGATGTTATGACTGACAGCATACCCAAGGTACTACCACCACTTAGAGACATTCAACATGCTGTAAAATTTATCCCTGGATGGATGTTACCTAATAGGCCTGCTTACAGATTGAGGTCGGCTCAGTATGAGTTGCAACGGCAGGTGCAGGACCTTATTGCTAGAGAGTTGGTGAGGGAAAGCACCAGCATATGTGTTCTTACTGCTTTGATGGTGCCTAAAAAGGATGATTCATGAAAGATGTATATTGATAGCAAAGCTATCAATAAGATCATCATCAAATACAAATTTGATATACCTCGCCTGGATGATTTACAGGATCAGTTACATGAAGTATTGTCTTTTTCAAGACTGACCTGCGTAGTGGATATCACCAGATCAGGACGAGAGCAGAAGAAAGGAATATTGCCTTCAAAACCATATATGGGTTGTATGAGTGGAAATTTATGTCATTTGGGTTATCCAATGCACCTAGCACTTTCATAAGACTGATGAATCAAGTGTTCAAGGCTTAAATTGGAAAGTTTGTAGCTGTGTAATTTGATAACGTCCTAGTCTACAAAAGATCTGGGGAGGAACACTTGCAAAATTTGATAATGGTCCTTGAGGTTCTTTGGTTGGAGAAGCTATATGCATGCCCAACGAAGTGTCAATTTATTTAGGTTATATTATATTTGGTGCAGACATTCAGATGGACCCTATGAAGATAGAGGTTATTATGAGTTGGGCACCCCACAGTCCTTTATAGAGCTGACACAATTTTTGAGGTTGTCATCCTTTTATTGAAGATCCATTAAGAGCTTCAATATAATTCCAGCTCCCTTGGTAGAGCTCTTGAAAGGAGGGAAGTTTTAGTGGACAAACGCACTCAGTTCAGGCTTGACATCATGAAGAAGGTGACTCTGGCCCCAATGTTAGCTCTACCAAATTTCAGTTAGTTGTTCAATGTGGAATTTGACGCTTCTAATGTGGGGATTGGAGCAAAGTTGAGTCAAGGAAAGCCTCTCATAGCCTTCTTCAATGAGAAATTGAGTGACAACATAAGAAAATATTCAACATATGATAAAAAGTTCTATGTTATTATGAGAGCTCTTAGTCATTAGAGTTACTAGCTATTGTCTAATGAGTTTATCTTATTCACAAATCATGAGGTTCTAAGCTTCCTGAATAGTCAGAGCAAGCTAAATGGCAAATATGCTTCCTGGGTTAAGTTCTTAGCGTCATTTCAATTTGTACTCGAGGACATGGCAAGATGTCAAAATCGAATAGCAAATGCCTTGAGTTATCGCCACTTATTGATCAATTCCATGCAAGATCACTTCCATGCAAGTAGAGTTGTGGGATTCAAGGTGGTGAAGGAGCTGCATGAGGCAAATTAAACTTTAAGAAAATTTGGGATCAGTGTCAGGAGAGACCTATTGAACAGTACAGCAAATCTTATGGCTACCTGTTCCACAATAACAAGTTGTGTTCTCAGATGTTCATTGAGAGAGTCCACATATAGTAGAGTCGCGATGACGGATTAGCATGTCACTTTGGCAAAGACAAGACCCTCGTACATGTGAGGGGACATTTTTCCTGGCCTAGACTGACGAGGAATGTAGACAGATACATCAGGTAGTGCAAAGTTTCTCACCGGACAACAACCAAGAGATAGAATATAGAGCTATACACATCATCACCAATACCAGAAGTTCTATGGTTGGATACTTAGATGTTAGTACGATATTTGTTGGTCTTCCTCGAAAAAAAGTAGAATAAAAAATTCAATGATGAATGTGGCTGACAGGTTTTCGAAGATGCCTCATTTTGTACTTTACCACAGGACAATGGAGTCAAGTTATTGGTCGCTTTTGGAGGACTTTATTAGGGAAGCTTGTTACTAAGCTTCAATTTAGCTTAGCAGCTCGCCCCGAGACAGATAGTCAGATCGAGGTGGTGAACAGAAGTTTGGGGAATCTCCTGAGATGCTTTATAAAGAAGAATATCAACTAGTGGGATTTGATTCTAGTACAAGTTGAACTTGCTTACAATGGGTCCATCAGTTAGACTGCATGACATACTCCCTTTGAGATTGTGTATAGGTGCAAACCACTAACCCCGCTTGAATTGGTACCACTTCTTCCTGCTACAAATGTTAGTGTAGATGTTGAAGCTAGAGTGCAAGAGATTCAAAGGCTACATTATGAGGGAGGAGGAGAGATCATCAAGCAGAACCATAAGTACTAGGAACAAACTAATAAAACTAGGAAGAATGTGACTTTTTAGGAGGGGGATCTGGTGTGGAACAAATTGAAAAAGGAGAGAATTTCCGCGGGATCTTCTGGGAAACACAAACATAGAGCAGATGGACTTTTCAGGATTCTCAAGAAGTTGAATGATGTCTGCCAAATTGGCTTATCGGAAAAATACAACATGATCGACCTGACTCCATACTATGAGACAGAAACTTTAACGAATGAGATCGAAGCTCCCCCAACCCCATTAGACTTCACAAACACCTGGATTGGTTCGGTCCAGAACTTTTAAGGGCCGGCCAACCCTTTAAATTTGGGAGTGCCAAGGGGTCCCACTCCTAATTACCTAGGACTATATATTTGCTTTTGTGGTGTTTAGGGTTTAGTTTTTTCAGTGATTTGATTCGGGATAGTTGTTGACGTCTCCATTCCCCCTTTTAGGGTTGTATCATATGGTTTCAAGTAGTGCTTTGGTTGTATCTTGATCTCCAGGTAGTGTTTATCCTTCCTATACCTTTTTTTCAAATTTTCCCGACAAGCTCCCAAAACCCCTTTATAGTTTTCCTTGTTTCCACCACTTAGAACAACACTCGTAGTTATTCTTGTTTCCCACTGCTTTTCTTCTTGCTGTCGCTGACTTCCAGCTAGTTGGCCGATCCCCTTGCCACCTCCTTGGAGGTCCAAACCCATAGTCGGCAACACCTACACTCTAGATCCAATCCTAGTTCTATTGTTGTGTTGTTGTTTTGTTGCAATATCCAATTTCCCTCCTGTTTTTATAATTTCATATTAATAACATTTATTTTCCTTTGAATGTTTGATAAATTCTGATATCACTTATTTATAATAAAAAAAGACGTTCGTTGGTTGATGTTTTTGTATTGGTTTGAATCATTCAACACATCAACTCTAAAACCCTATAATAAAAGATTGTTTCTCGGGGCTGAAAACACACTATTCTTATCAATTTTAAGCACAAAAACAATAATTACTTAAACTTAACTTCTCAATGAGTTGTAGCTTTGATGCCTTCAATCATATGATAATGCAATGTTGTTAAAAAAAGTATCTTCACAAATACAGGTTACAATCATACCTCTTTCATTCCATGTAAAAGAGCACCAACAACGGTGACGTGCGAAAGACCAGATATCCCATAGTCATTTCCAGGTATCGCACTAATGTTTCTTACCAGCAGAAAGTCTATCATTTGGAAGACAAAAATAATTAATTTTTCTATAGACTAAATTATAGACAAACTTAAGACTATCCCTTGAGTTAGTTCGACCTCAAAATAACCTTAAAAAGCATAAGAAAAGCAGCAAAAAAGATGGGTATTAGGCAACAGTTTGCAAATAATGAATTAAATAAGTCCAAAATTTGGAGAATATCATTTCACAAATAGACCAATACCATCATCTCTATAAGCACAATTTAAGTTGTTTTGTATGCATGTCATCATGAAGTGAGGATGGGGCTTGAACTGTCTTTAGTTTTCCACCATTGTAACATCAAGATCATGGGTTCAAATTACAAAAAAGGCTTTTCGCAATTCAAGGGTAAAATTGCATATGCAGCAACCCCACCCTAAACCCTATAGAAACTTCATGCACCTTGTATGCATTCTTATTATTGTACCATGAAGATAGCAAAAGAGTGGAATTACAAAAGCTAACAAGACTATTTACGTTATGCAAATTTATGAAAGTAGTTGTGCACCCTTCAAGTGTATCAGAGAAATAAAATGAACATATAAGGGTGTAAAAAAAAAAGTTTAAGACAGTTACAGAGGAAGGAAGTACGGAGAACACAGCGCTGAAAAAAATATAATTAGTTACATGAAAATTGCTTGAATTTGAAAGAGAAAATACTCCTTGGGGTAAAAAACAAAGCAACATCAGTAATTGCCAATAACATACATGAACTTTAAATTCCAAAACAGATAAGTCAACACAACAAACATGCAGCAAAATACACAGGAAAGATTAACTCACAAAAGAAAAAAAATACTAAGCGAAACAGGTAATTAGTTCTAATTAAAATCCCCCAATATCGAAATACTGTAATAAATAAATGCATTGACTAAGCAATCGCATCAAAGAACAAGATCATTTTGAGATACAGATTTGAAGCTCAACAAATTAGTGGCAAAAGCACAAAGAATGCAAAACGAACATCTGTCCGCGTAAACTGCAATTTTGAGCAAAATGTTGGCGAAAAATACTTCGATTATTCTTCGCATGCCTAATGAACAAAAACATGCATAGCATGAGATTCTTATCATGTGCTTAATTATAGCAAAGCCTGTGAAATTATTGATTGAAATAACAAAATTGTGAAAAGCACGAAGAGGAAGATGAACAGGTGCTCTGAAAGTGAGAAGAAGAAGATGAAGAATGCAAAAATAGTACCCTGATTCGAGTAGAGAGAGGAAGTTTTAGCGAAAATCGAATAACAGAAGAGAATTATAGCAAGCAAGCGAGCAGCTCCGCCCATTTTGCCTTGAAGTGTCAGTAAGTGGAAGACTAGAAAGCACTGAACGGGAGGAGCTGGTTTTATAGGAGAAATATTTGTTTATGTAACATATTATACGAGGGTACTGAGTTTACATTTAGGTTACACCAAAAATTTATGAGTATCATTTAAGTGTAATTTATCTGTATATTCTTAATAACTTAATATGCAGACAACTCTGAGTACGTCTTATATACTCAAATATTTCTCGTTTTATAGGGTGGAAATTTCAAAATTATGATTTTATAAAATTAAATCGGTTGCACGTCTGGACGGTCAATCATCCGTGATCACATCGTCATACACGTTGTTAACAAACGATGTGGCCTTTGGTAATTGCTCGTTCAAATGCATATCTAATTTTTTTTTTTCACGTAGTCACAATATCTTTGATAAACCCTAAACAATTTTTTTTTTTTCTTACTTCCGAGTCTAATTTTTAATATCACATTTAAATTATCATCTTCACTAATTTTTTAAAATAAAATATACATTTCTCGCATTTAAATTATTATAATTGCTAGCTATGGGGTACTTTAATACATACGTATTGCGTGGTATGCATGTAAATTTCCCTATATTTTAATTAGCATTTTAAGCTCTTTTTCTTTTTATTAAAATCAAATTAAATTTTTCTTGTAGCTTTTTTCTCTTTATTTAATATTATAAACACATAAATAAAATAAAAAAATTTATTTGTTTTTTTTAGTTAAATTTAAAAAATGTGTATTTATAAACACTTAAATAAAATAAAATTTACTTATTTTGTTAAGTTAAAATTAAAATTTGTGTATACATAATTAATTTTTTTATTTTTACGGAAAATAACTTTGTACCTCTAAAAATAAATAAATTGAAGTCATAACATACATCTAAACTTCAAATATATTACTTTAATATATTTAGGTATGTTTAGGGCAGCTTTTGTGTTTCAGGATAAGCAGTTTGTCCTAAAACTCGGCCCGCGGGTCGAATGCAGGGTTCGACCCATGGCTTGCGTTTAGTATAAAAATGAAACCGCATTTTCGGATAAATTGACAAAACAAGGGAACCAAACGGTACGATGACGTTTTTAAAAACACCCCCACACTTATAAGCTGCCCAAACGGGCCCTTATAGTTCTAGGTCTATTCCTATATTTTTTTTACTACTTTATAATGATTTAATTTTAATCAGTCTATAATTCTAAATTATACTTCTTTATAATAAGACTTTATAAATTTGATTTATATTTAGAAATTTATAGTGGAATTATCTCGATGTAATGGGAATTATCTTGTAAGATGATTGTTTCTATCTTTCAATTTGTATCGCTTGAAATATATTTGATATTGTAATAATTTATAAAACATAGTTTAACAACATGCTTAATTTAATGATAATTTATTGTCCTAATAACAATTACTTACATAGACTTAACACCCACTAACTTAATTCTAATTTATATCCAACAATTTCAAATTTATTGGATGGCTCTCATTGATGCTTTTGTTTAATTATTATTGATTTGTTATCTTGTGGGTGATTATGATTTATTATTATATTTTAAATAAATAGTTTAAATATGTATCCAAGAAATGGATTTACATGATGTCTCTAACTTATTTATTTGGAAGGTAGAAGAATAATGCTAGCCTAAATTCTAAGATCAGAATGCTCATCTTATGTACCTTTAGTTGCCTAGAAGTATATGTTATCACTATGTCGTGTTATATTAGGACTTAGCCTAGATTTGAATTCCATTCGTGCCAAAAGGATTTATGAGGATAAAGAGCCAGCAACAAGCAATATCTAAGTATCTAGTAATAGTAGCTAGTTAAAAACAATTATGAATATCTAAAAGTAGGTTTTATTTGTCGACAAGCAAGGGTGTCTTATAGAATCATACAGATTTGAAGATTTATTTATTTAAATAATCAAATATGACATTAAAAGTAATATACTATCTCGAGAGATAGAAATACCACTTTATGATGGGCTCGATTACTTAAATTAAGAAATATTGGTTATTTGCAATAGTTTATGATTAAAATTGACAAATCTTTCATCTACCTAACCTGAAGATTGGACAATAATAATTTTTACTGATCAAGATCAAGCAATAGCGGGAGTTATAGAAAATGTGATGTCTCATACTCATCATAGATTATATGAGTGGCATTTATTTAAGAAAATTCATTTGAAACTATATTACTACAATATTAATAAGATAATTCAGAGTATTTTATAAATGCATCAGTAAGTGTGATTCAAGATTAGGGCTTAAACAAGCTTGAGCTGAGATGCTGGAAAAAGGCAACATTCAAGATCTGTATAAAATTAAAAAGAAGTGGTAAAAAATATTGAATAAAGATTCATTCTATGTGAGAATTTTATCCACACAACATAGCGAGTCTACAAATAATGTATGTTGTAGTAACTTCAAGCCTACAAGCTCTATAACAATTTGTTTTTTGGGATTGAAAAAGCTCATGTCTACATGAAGAAGATGAAAATTTTAAATGTACTCAATCAGTGATTGTTTCCATTTTTAAAACCAACCCTGTGTTGAAGTAAGTTGTTATATCCTATACGAGAAAGCTTTATTCTTTTTTTAAGAAGAATTTCTACTTGCCGTGGAAGTTTCTAATCATATTCCCTAAGAATATTACATTAATAAATTGAAGAATAAAGGAACACAGAAGTAATAGATTGTTAATTAAGATTAAACGAGATCTTATCTAAGTTATAGCTGCAAGAAATTTGAAATGCAATGATTATTATGTGCCCACTGCAAAAGAGTTCTAAACAAAGAAAATATAATGAAGGAACTCGATAAGTATTTTCTCACTGGAAGGTTTGTAGATGCTAAGAGAGATATATAGATTGACAATGAGTATAACGATTTGAAAGAGCCTCAGGTTATGAATGGTTATTCAAGTGTTGTCTACATAGAAAAATATGCACATCAAATAAGCATAAGAGCACAAGACACTAAATGTGCAAAATAATATATGTTGGAATCATTGAAATAAATGCCTGATGATGTTGACTCAATATTGTTCGGGAGCCCACCTCCAAACACATGTCCAAGAGAAGGAGCAGTGAGAAGAAAGGAGCATTCAATGTGATACTAAAGAACATAGCCAAAATGGATAAGAAATATGTTCATCATTTAAAGAGGTACAAAACCAATCATATACATGAGTTCCTTCTTCGATGTTATTTATTCAAAGTTAACATCAAATTAAGAAACCAGAATAGGGACAGTTGCAATAGCTAAAATTTTATGTACATGCTCACAAATGAGTCGGACAAATTGTAATTTTTTACTTCCTTCATCTGATTCTTGAAGTACACGACTTTTAATTTTGAATTTCAGACACTATCCCATTTAACAGTTTGCCCCCTATTGAGCATGCCTATGAGCAATGTCACATTAGTCACATTAAAATTGAAGCTAATTTATGTGCCACCAATATTGAAATTTTATCTCTTAGTGTCTCGTCAAAACATAATATTCACGAGCAATGTATTGTCATATGAGAAGGTAGACAGTTTTGTGAACTGGTGAACATTCAACTCCATCATGATTGTGATAATTTCATTGGTCATATAATTAAAAAGTGAACCATACACTGATATAATTGTGGAAGTTCTGCATCAATTGATATTCTAGATGATGGCATTTTCCTATAAATAATTTAGTAATAGAGTATAAAGTCAGCAAATGCAAGATGAACACAAATGAAGATGAGAAAATAATATAATTTCTTGAACGAATAGGAAAACACCAATACATGTAACAAAACATGTTTCAAATTATATTAGATATTATGTAGAACATTCTCAGAGCTCCACATCATGTTTTTATGAAAAAAAAATATTTTTTGTACCCTCCTTTTACTCTCTTTATACCCTCGGTCACACAAATAAAATTTAAAAAAAAAAAGATATGCAACAAAACATGTTTCAAATAAGATTGAATATTGTTTACAACATTTGTTAAGCTCTAAATCATGTATTTGGTGGAAAAAAACTTTTTTGTACCCTCCTTATACCCTTCATGCACCCTCAAACCCAAAGACTAAATTACAACTAAAAAGCAACAGTATTACAAAAAAACATGTTTAGCATTGTATTGGATACTGCTTATAAGATTTCTAAAGCTCCACATCATGATTTCTTGGGGAAAAAGGTTTTTGTCCCCTCTTTTTACCCTAATTGTACCCTCAAATCTACATACAAAATTTCAATGAAAAAATAATAAGATATGCAACAAAACATGTTTCAAGTAATATTGGACATTGTTTATAATATTTCTACAGCTCCAAATCATGTTTTAGTGAAAATTGTACCCTCAGGCTCACACAATAATTGCAATGTAAAAACATCAATATATGGAACAAAACATATTTTAACATTGCATTGGACATTGTTCAAAATATTTTTAGAGCTCCATACAATATTTTCATGAAAAAAAAAAAATTGTACCATGTTTGTGCTCTTAGGTTCACTTGCCAAATTTCAATGGAAATACAAAAAAATACAACAACTTATGTTTCAAATTGTACTAGATATTATTTAGAATATTTCTAAAGATCCACATCATCTTTTCATGAAAAAAGTTGTACCCTCTTTGTAACATTCTTGTACCCTCAGTCCCACATGCTAAATTTCAATGGAAAAACAATAAGATACCCATTTATATGATATTGAACATTGCTTCCAAATCATGTTTTAAATGGAAAAAAAATTTTGCCCTCAAGCACACAAACCCAATTACAATGGAAAAACACAATTATGCAACAAAATGTGTCTCAAATTGTATTTGACATTGTTTGGAACATTTCTAGAGCTCCACATCATGTTTTCCATGGAAATATACCGAGATATGCATCAAAACATGTTTTAAATGACATTGGACATTATTTAGATCATTTCTATAGCCACATATCATGTTTTATGGAATATAATTTTTGTACTTGTACTCTCAATCCCACAAGCCAATTTTCAATGCAAAAACACATAGATGTGCTTCAAATA